TAGAGGAATTGGTGTACCGAGTTTCTACTGACTTTAACATGTTGCTATTATTGTTAGCCCTTTACAATGACCTTGCAAATCCCATCCCACAGGTATTTTGAACTTTCCAGAAAAGAGTGGAAATACTCTATTCCATACTCTCTCTGCTGCGTGTTGGAAGTGAGTGTCCCAAAATTACTCCCATGGTTAGGCTTTAGCTGCACACAAGGGTTCCTGCAGCAAATGGTGCAGTTAGTGTTCATGCAATTGTCAGCTCTCTCTGGGAATATGTCATGTGTAGCTGCACTGAGGCACTTGGGATCACTTTCAGGACAGATAAAGATCAGATACTTTTTTTTCTGCAAGAAGAATTACGAGAGTGGCTTGGGAGTTAGTGGCACCAGAGAAATTTAGCTCTTGTCGTTGCAGCAGAGTTACTGGACTTTACCTGGAGTGTACAAGGAACCAGAGCAGTTACCGGCCCATCTGTCTGTGAAGCAAGACTGAGTTTTCAGAGTGCCTGCAGATCCAAATTAGAGGTTTTCCTGGGTGGATAATTGCAGGGTTAGTGCAACCTGGGAAAAGTTTTTGACAGCCCGGTATGGAATTATCTGTAATGGGCTGAGCCCCTAGCCTAGTTTCTTTAAGGGGTCTAGACAAATAAAGAGCAGTCTTTTGGCAGCTTTGGGTTAGACCTAGAAGTTTCAGGTGTGCGGTCAGGTAGTTGAAAGTAGATGCAGCCCATTTCCCTATGTTTTCAACACGACCTTCCTGCTGCTGCTGCTAATTAAGCCAGTATCTTTATCATCCAATCATGGACTAGCCTGATAAGAGTATCCTGCTTATTTTTGACTTGGTCTCTTATGATAGCAAATTCAGAAATATCTGTAATAAGATTTCACAGAATGACTAGTTTACTTAAAAGAAAAAGCTGTTTCTGATCAGTTGTTGAGACAGTGATGAATTATGTGCAGAGTATTGGACTATATAGTTACAACTGAGAGAAAAACGTGTAAGGCCAATGTTTATAAAAGGAAAATGAGACTTAGCACTTCCCCTTATACCCTGATGCATTTGGGTCACTGGACTGAGATGTGCCCAGAGCATGTCATGTACATTAAAGGTGGCAGAAAGTTTACAGCAGAATTACAGCATCGAATTTCAGGCTGTGGAAATGTTGAGGCAGAAGTTTTCAGCAGAGAGTGACTGGTTTCTATTTCCTGTTTAGAGAATGACCAGGCACTTCAGTTATGCTTGGCCCTGGCCTGAGTCAGTCACTGATTTGTTACTTGAAATTGGGCTAGTCTATTGACTTTTCTGTTCCACTATCCTCACCTGTAAAACTGGTATGCTGTTTCACACCTTAAAACCCCTGATAAGAGAGACAAATTCCATAATCAATACCTTGAAATTCCTAAATAGAAATAGCTGCTTTATGCGTGTTGCAAAATATTTTTAAAGATGCATTTTTTGTGGAAGAACACCACTGAGAACTGGTCTAAGTGAGGTTAGACATTTATATTGCTGTATCTAGATGTTCCTTCAAGATTACCACAAGTGAGCCTTAGGAAAAAAAAAAGGATAAAATGAGGACAGAATGACATTGATTGTGTGTGTAAAACTGTGGCTGATCTACACTTACCAGTTGCTTACCTGAATCAAATGGACCAACACAAGGTGTGTAAAAAAGGCCAGTTTATATTACGAATGCCCCCCCCGTAATATTGCTGCTAAATGGAATAGTGACAGTTTTTATTACCTTACAGTGCATGTTACCCACATTAGAGATTTACATACTGAGAGCTGGATGGTTGCATAGTCTGATTCTCTAGTATTCCTAATTAGTGCATTTCATTAAAGACAACTAAATCTCTGCTTATATTAGTGGTACTGTTTAACACAATGGAGAGTCAGCAGCGTGATGCAGTAAGGAAGCAGAGCTGAGGAAGGTATTGAAAAGGTAATCTTTGTAATAAGAATTAACCAGCGGTACACACAGACTTGGAATCTCTTTGTAAGTCTTGTAGATTTCTTGCTGAAATCTTTAGAGACCTTGTAGTTAAAAGAATTAATGAAAACAGTCAAAAGGCCTATGAGATGATGCTGTTTGTGTATGATTCCCAGATAACTTTTGAACCTGTTGCTTGCCCATAACCAAATTTGACAGAGAGCAGGAACCTCAAAAGGCAAAAACAGTCCTGCAGGTTCATGTATAGGTGTTAAAGCAGTGGGTGATATGTCTTACCTGTGGAAACAGTTGCAGAAGGAGCCACAAAAATGACCAGAGGGATGGAACACCCAGCCTGGAGAGGAGAAGGCTTTGGGGAGACATAATTGCGGCCTTTCAATACTTAAAGGGGGCTTATAAGAAAGATGGGGACAAACTTTTTAGCAGGGCCTGTTGTGACAGCACAAGGGGTAATGGCTTTAAACTAAAAGAGGAGAGATTTAGACTAGATATAAGGAAGACATTTTTTACACTGAGGGTGGTGAAGCACTGGCCCAGGTTGCCCAGAGAGGTGGTGGATGCCCCATCCCTGGAAACATTCAAGGTCAGGTTGGACGGGGCTCTGAGCAACCTGGTCTAGTGGAAGATGTCCCTGCCCACGGCAGGGGGGTTGGACTAGATGACCTTTAAAGGTCCCTTCCCACCCAAACTATTGTATGATTCTATACCTTATTACATGCTAAGGAAAATCTTGGAAGACAGAAGAAAAAAATGCTCTAAAAGCCTCTTCAGTTCTGGCGTTCCTGAAACTGCTTCTTCCACCTATGTTCATTTTTTATGTATGTTGCAGGGAGAGTTCTGTTAAAAGAACTGCTAGAGCTCTTGTGTCCTTCTGCTAGGAAAGCAACCAAATACTTTTACTGTTAAGCTCAGTGTGAGTAGTCTGATTCAATTTCCATACTGCTGCTCTAAAACAACTCCAGGTTAACTTTATCAAAGCCTGGTAAGTTTTTGTTTAATATCTTTGTATTGCTTTGATTCTGAGGATTCTCTTGTGGTTTTATAGCTCATGATGTATGATGAGAGAGCCAGGCTCTTCCCTCGGAGTAACACAAAATACAAGTAAATGAAGTCATACCAGCAGTGCCTGTACTGTGTCTAACCACAGTGTTTATCAGTTTTGCTATCTGCTGATCAGTGCCACGTTGTATTAACATACCTCTGAGGTATTCAGCGCTTGATAGTACTAAATCAACAGCCTGATTACTGTTTATCAACACTGCTGACTTTCACAGGATTCCTCGAGTCACACCAGCATGCAGTATTACTCTGCAGGAGCCTGGTTAGCTACAAGGGTAGAAGCATTATCACCTTAAGAAAAGAAACACCCTCTGTAACCTTTTACTGCATAGTTTGCTCCAGTGTGGAAGAAGTGGCAGGGAACGGTTAAATCATCGTTCACACAGGAGTAGACCAGTGACGAACATAAACAATGTTGTTGCGCTTGACGGTCTTTGCATGTCACTTGCCGATGCTCCTTTCTGTATTTCCTTCGGAGATAAAGCTGACCAGTTAGTGAATTGAAGCCAGTTTGCCCAAGAGCCTTAAATCCAAAGAGTATTTGTCCCTGTTATCAGATCTCTCTCCTTGAGAACTTCTCCTTCTTTGCTTTAGTATTAACAGCATTTGTTGTCACAGAGAACGTACAGGGTGGCCTGCAACGCAAGTGGAATAGAGGACTAAGCAGTACAGAGCAGTAATGGTGGGAGCAACAGGGAGAAATGTTGGCTTCATTGAATTCCATGAGAAAACTCCACTAGACTTCAGTGGAGCAAGTATTGTGATTCATGGTGTGAACAGATGTATCCAAACACTGTGCTCCAATGGCTTTTATTAAAAGCCCGATGAATAAGAGCCTTGTGTATTAATACTGAGGGGTGTCATGGAAGGACTGTATTCAGAACAGGTATCTGCAGTGGATGTAGGAGGGACTATTAGGATTCTGGCAGGAAGAGTAAAGAATGCTAAAGCAAAGGATGTATGAACTAAGCGAAGAGAGCGAGAGTGATGGCAGGATATAAGAGGAACTGGAGGATCTGGGCTGTGAAGAGCTCTGAAGACACTTGTAGGAGTGGAGTGGAAGGCAAGGCAGCTACAGATCTGAGCACCAGGGAGTGGCAGCAGCCACCTGAAATTTTGCATTTTGAAAATAATCGGTTTCAGTTCAGTCATTAAGCCAGCTTCCTCAATATTAATGTTGTGTGCTGTATTGTTCTAGTAAAAAAAAAAAGCAACCTGGGAGAGCAGCAACAGGGGAAGCTAAATAAAAATTGCATCAGACTATCTGACTTCATGTCTATGCAATAGTGGCTGTCATTTTGCTTTTCACTATTGGATTATTACAAATGGTGACTACTATTGAAGTCCCATGGGACCCATGTATGGTCTCATATTAAGCCATAAAAAGAAACGTTTGAAAGAACTGCTTAGTTGTGGAATGGTAAATTTCAGCTGTAGATTGAAAGGGCTGTAGACAATGCCAATAGCAGAGTTTTCTTCCTAGCAGAAGGCTTTGTGTTTTCCCATGCTTGTTGCTTTTGGTAGAGTTCCTTCCTCCCATCTCCGAAGTTGATGCTTTTGTTGTGAAAATTTGTTGTGTATTCAAGGCTAGAGAGCACCTAAAGAAAACTCAGGAAATCTCCAATCCAGTACTGAATCTCAGATATCTCTTGGCAAGTAAATAAGCTCATATGTATGCATGATTGTCAGTTTGTTGAATTTTAGCGATAGCTGTTTATAAACTTGGATTTAGCAAACTGGTAGAAGTTTACTCAAAACTCCTACAGGTTGTGAAGTTCTGCAGAGTGTTTTAATAATTACGTAGCTGTCATGAAAATAGCAGTATAGGACATTCAGCATCCCAATAAATATCTTCAGTGGGAGTACGGATAAAAGGATTTGTGATAGAGCCTTTCAGGAGTGAAAGTGAGCTTTCAGGCCTAGTCCATGCATATAATTATTATTTGTCATGCAACTGGCGTTTGGAGTGACTTTCCCCTTAATTTCTCAACAGATTTTGGATTTGGAAATTTCTATAAGAGTGGTGAGCCTCTGACGACATGGTGTGGAAGCCCACCATATGCAGCCCCAGAAGTCTTTGAAGGACAGCAATACGAGGGACCCCAGCTGGATATCTGGGTATCATTATTCTTTTTTTAACTGGATTCAAGTCAACTTTTAGGAAGCTGGAACAAAGGAATCATCTTTGATTTTTCTTAAGCTGCAGACAAGCTGTTCCTCTTCAGCTTTATTTCTTGTGTGTCATAAAAAGCCTCTTAACATTGAATGGAATTGAAGTTACCTATTAAGGTGGCTATTTAATGTACACTGTAGGTGTATGTTAGCCCACTAGAGGAAAAACTGTAGCTCCTCCAAAAGCTCTCCTGACTGAATGCATGAACTTTGCTTTTTTCAGTGCATTTAGGATCTTCTGTGTTAAGTGGGAATTGAACTTGTAAGGCTGTAAGTTCTTGATGAGGTTAAAGGGATTCTGAGCCACTGAAACACAGGAGAGATGATGACTGCTTTGCTCTTTGAGCTGGAAACAAGCGCATTTGTGCCACAAACATTTCTACTGCAGGCAGCTGCATGTTTTTGAATCGGTGTGTCTCCATGCGTACCACTCTAATGGAAGAGGATAAAGAGTGCAACCCACATTCTTATGCAATGGAAAAGGGACTAAAGTAGCTCTGTGCACCCTTCATGTGTTGTCAGAGACTGCTTTTCATTCCTAATTTGGTTTTGTTTGGGGGTTTTTGTTTGTTTTTTTTAATTTTAGTATTCTGGTACTTACAATGATGGATCCATATTCTAAAGCAACCAGAGACAGTACAATTTGGCAGTCTCTGCTCTGGCATCAGGTTTGCAGTGATACTATTACACATAGCATAACAACACGGGCACTGACATTTTGGTCAGAGCCTGTTACACAAACAGGGCAGTTCATGGAAAGTCACCTTTCAGCTGCTAATCTAATTTAAATTTATCTAAACGCATTAACAAATAAAACCTGTGATTTTAGATACATATATTTGTGTGTATGCATGTACCTCTCTGTATACATACATATATATATGTAACTAGATTTTAAAAAAAAAAGCTACAGCCTTTCTGAACCTTCAGTAACTGGTAAGTGAACGTACAGCAGACCTCAGCTACGCTTGCTGTTTCAAGTAGTACAGGCACTCTTTGAATGTCAGAAGTGAATCTCTGAACTTTGGTAAATACTCAAATATGTAAGATCCTAAATCATTAACAGAATCTGCCTGCCCACAAAGAGAAGTGCATGTGTGTTTATATTTAAGATAAAATCATCATCATTTTCACTTATCTTCTGAGATGAGTTAAGGATTCTGTATCTCTTTGCAACCTCCAATGACAGAATAGGAAGCTTAGCACTTTCAGCAGACCAGGAGGAATGCAACAATCCACAGTTCACTTTTTGGCAGGTGAAGGAAGGAAGGAAGTGACTTTTTAAAATACATATTTAATTTTAACATCTCTGTGTACTTACAAAGTTTTAAGGTGAATGTTGAATGCCTGCTTTTTCCCCTTGAGAAATCCAGTGCTGTGGCTATGCCAACTGATTGGCATGAGGATCTGGTGTGGTTATTTCATCTAGTGTGGCGCTATATTTTTTTTGGCATATACTGCAACACTATTTCCACTTGCAGTGCCAATTAACTTGCATACTTTCAAAAATGAGTCTGGCAGTTGGAGGATAGCTCTTGCCCAGATTGTCTCCTTTTGCTCATATTAAATAATCCCTCATGCTCAGCACTGCATATAGCAGTGCAGAATTATTAGTGGGTGTTCCCCTGAAGCTGACTGTTCATGAAGTTACCAGTGTGCCTCTTACCCAGGCTTTGGCAAATTGGTAAATGTAAAAGGTTACAGTTTCTTATTTTGAAGGGCTGCTGTTTGAGGTTTGTTTTTGTTTGAACAACATTGAGATTAATAAAAAGTATCTCTAATTCTCACTTGAAGTTGGGGCTCACTTTTCAGGTATCATTCAGACATCTGCGTGGAGCTTCCTGCTAGCAGCCAGAGTCTCTAACCCATTACACTTCAGCTTACCTGCTTATCAGCACAAGGTACTGCAAGCCTAGCCATTTTGGGTTAGCTGAGTGTTCTTAATATTCAGGGATCTTCAGAAATCTAACTCCTTTTTGTATAAATTTCCTGTTTCTGTAGAACATAATTTTAATTTTTTCTGTGACAGGATTTGGCTAGCCAACCTCAGAGACTTTGCTCGTAGCTTGAGAAATGCAATGAATATTCTCTTTCTTACAGAGCATGGGTGTAGTTCTTTATGTTTTGGTCTGTGGAGCACTACCTTTTGATGGACCAACGCTCCCCATACTGAGGCAACGCGTTCTTGAAGGGAGGTTCAGGATCCCTTATTTTATGTCAGAAGGTAACAATGTGTCCTCTTATGCTCTTGGTGTGGTAAATCTTGAGTAAATTCTAGAATAATCTCTATTGCAATACAGCAAAGGGTGGTGCATCTGCCCACTAGATTATGGTATGGCAGACAATTTGTTTTGCAAAGAAACACAAATAAGCCTAGGTGAGCTTGTATGCCTTTGCAGTTAGGCTGCTGCTAGGCAAACCAACCCATTTTTCCCTGCGCAATGCATGGAGATTGCAGTGTGGCTGTGCCCATGGGTAGGGAGAGAGTCAAAATGGAAGCTGAAGGATCTCTCATCCTACCGTGAACAGAAATATGGGGATGCAGGGGGAGAGGCACATTTGTGTAGCAATTAGCTTTCATCCTGCAAGGCCATATACATTTTAATGTGGAAAGAAAATATGCTGAGAGCAATATCGCTGTCAAACCTAAGTTGTGGATTGGGTGTTTCCTGGTTTTTGACAGCGTCTGCTAAACAAAAGGAAAAAAGTGCACAACCAGTTCATGTGCCAGGTTCTCACTGTCATGTATCTGGCACTCCCACATGTGACTGAGCAATCTCTCCCTCACTTAATTGCCCCATCTGTTGGGTTTCACTCTCCCTCGTGCCTGTTCAGACAGGAACAAGTGGGGCCATTTTTATACGGGGTTTGATGGTGTCCTTCAGCTTCCCTATATTAAAGGGTCTCTAAACCAGATTACTTCAAAACAACCTTCCTGAATCAAATCCTCTTTCAATATACTACTTTCTGTGCTTTTTTTTTTTTAAAGGGAATTAAAAATAAGTTTTTTCAGCCCTGTTGTTAAGGGTTCTGTGGTGTAAAACATTCTGGTCTTCCCCTTTTTCCTTCTGGTGGCATGTGCTCTGGCGCACTGCCTCTGAAAATAGCCACTACAGTGTAGCTATAGTGCATTTGGTTGCTTTTAGCAATGCCGTTATGGCACCACGGCAACCTCTCAGCTTCCTGGGCACGTTTTGTGGCTGGCGCTGAACTGTATTGTGTTTCTGTGACTTTGCTGACATAAGTATGCTAGCTAGATCCAGGTACCTTTGTATGAGTTGCAATCATCGCTGGGACTGCAGTGTAGATGGGCTGTTTCACAGGCTGTTTGCTGTTCCCCTTGCTGATCACATGGTGATACAAGGAGTGGGGAAGGGTGTACCTCGTAGCAAAACTGTGAAAACAAGAGAGATAAACAGGAATAAATAGCCAGAAATCTCTCTAAACTATTTATCATAACTACCTGAATGGACTGACTCATAACAACTGTACTGTAGCCATATCATGGTCAGCTAGAAATGCATGGCAGACTGATAAGCTTCCTTAAAGGAACTTACATTGACTTCCTATCATATACAAACTGCACGTTCATCTGTCATGCCCTTATCTTCCAAAAATCAATTGAGATCTGAAGAAAAATGTGATGGTTTTAATGCTGCCCAGCATGTAGTAGTCAGAAAGCAGCAATGGTTTGGTGTGTTCAGAATTATTCTGGCATCTAAAGCTACTGATTGTGCTTTGGTTCTGGAATTAAAACAGATAAATCTGCAGACCCGTTGGTCACAGAGACATTATTTTTAGCTTTGTTTTTGTGACCACTAGAGTGGAAATAAAAAAAAAAATCACGCACTAACCCTAGTTTTGCCAATCCCTTGTTTTATGAGCCTTTTATTTCAAACTGTGCTGGAGAAGGATGCTAATTACTCCTCACCACACTTCACAGAGATTGTTTGAAGCTTTATGAGTTAATGTTAGCGCTGTACTTAGAACAGCACAAGCAGCTTCAAAGAGGTATTAACTATTACTATTACCTTCATGTGGGAGCTGTATAGAAGGAATTGCAGTTAGCCATACCATGCATTTAAAGAAGTTGGGGTTTTGTCCTTCTTAATGTGACTTTTAATCTTGTTTTGAGAGATTGTTTTAGCCTTCGGGAAATTTATTTAGCACAGAAGTTAGGTATAAGTAAGGCAGTTTCCTGTTGTCAGGCTCTGTATTGGTAGGTCTCAGGTGAATATACGCAAGTACTACTTAGCAGCTTGGTAATTATTTTTTTTCCCAACAGAGTGTGAACATCTGATTAGAAAAATGTTGGTCCTAGACCCATCCAAACGGTTAACTATTGCTCAGATTAAGGAGCACAAGTGGATGCTTATAGAAGTTCCTGCACAGAGACCTATTCTTTATCCACCAGGAGAGGAGAATGAGCCTTCCATTGGAGAGTATAATGAGCAGGTCTTACGGCTAATGCACAGCCTTGGAATAGACCAACAGAAAACTATTGAGGTAAAATAGACCCTGGGGGGGAAGGTCTCCTGTTTCATTTTTTTCAGTTCTGTTTACTGCCTGAATTGCTTGCAACGTTCTTTATTTCAACAGCTGGGGGTGGGGGGAACTGGTGGCATATTTTACCTGGTCAGACCCTAGCAAGGACAAACATTTTGAGCACGCTGAGCTGCTGCCTCCCTGTCTTACTGATGTCTCAGTCTGTGCCAGCAGACTGATCAGGAAGAGGAGAGGCATCCCTCCAGAAAGTTTCCTAAAGATCATCCCTAGCAAAGATAAGGTGTCTGTGTTATGCAAACTGCAGGCAAAACATTGTGCAGGAAACCCACAGACAACTTCACCCGTGCGCCTTACACTGGCCAGCCACACCCAGTTATTCCAGTCCAAGGCATCCATACCTTTACCCATAGAGGAGAATATGTCAATGAAAAGGCAGCACCGTGAGAGAAAGGATACTCCTCTGTGTCAAGAATCCAAATTAGAACCCATGGAAAAGAATCGTGTTCTGGTCACATATCCCAGGACTAGGTACTGTTCTTTCAGTGTATTAACTATTTACTTTAATTTAAACAAGCACACATTTCAAAGAATTTGATGTTGCAATTGCTTTAAGCTAGAGGACGCATAGAAAATATAGCACGCGCTACGTAAAAAATGGAAGCCCAGTAGGGCTGCCTGTTACAATGGTGATGCTGCTGCTTACACTTGGTCATTTCTAGAGATTTGTTTGTAAGCTAAGTTGATTCTTAAGCATGGAAGTAAAAATAAAGGAGCCATATTAGGTTCCACGCTGTTAGATTTCCTGGGTGGGGTTGGATAAATCATTACTTGTCAAATGGAGAGGAGGGGAAATCAGAATTGAAAGTAAATTCATTTTGAACTTCTAAGAGGGTGGAAAACGAAATTCAAAAAGGAGCATAAAAGCAGTAAGCAGCTGAATGTCTCTGTCCAATCCCAAATCATGCTTCTTACCAAACATATATGCCAAGATTCCCTATGGAGTTAACACAGTCATTTCCTTTAGGATGGTTGATACTTTAAACCATTGTGGAGGTTGGCAGTTTGAGTACTTTCTGCTAGAAGAGGCTAGTTTCTCTACTTTGCAGAGGCTCAGTTCCCCATTGCTTTGAGTGACTTGGAACGGCCAATATATTCAGGAGGTCCTGGAGCTCAGTCACTTTTCCAGGTTTAAGTCTTTGAGGATTCAGAGTAGCACCTGAATGTTAGCTGTAAGTACTGTCGCAGCCCAGAACACAGCAAATTTCTGTGAGCTTGCCACTAAACTAGGGTTGATGCTTTTCTTTGCCTGGCACTCTGGTTTGAAACTTTCTCAATTCAGAAGAAAGTTTGCCTACCCCACTACCTCTTAATTTATACATATTTTTTGTTCCCCCCCCCCCCAGCAATTCTTTCTTCTTCCTGGTCTCGTAGAACGTAAAAGATAATGTATATTTGGCTGCACCCACACTTTTGTGCTTCTCTCTTTCAGTCTCTGCAGAACAAGAGTTATAACCACTTTGCTGCTATCTACTACTTGTTAGTGGAAAGACTCAAATCACATCGGAGTAGCTTCCCCGTGGAACAGAGACTTGATGCTCGTCAGCGTCGGCCAAGCACCATCGCTGAGCAGACAGTAGCCAAGGTAAGGTCTCGTTCCTAGCAGAGGTGGGCTTAAGCGGTGCAAGGCATTCTTCTCTTTCAAAATGGTGTTTCTACGTAGATTCACTTAGAATCCATTGCTATTTTCTGATTTCTACAGTATGTAGACTTGCAGCATCATTTTGGAAAGACTTTTTTGGATTTGCCTCCTGTCAGAACTGTATGATGACAGATCAGTTGTCTGGCATGCCTCCTACAACTGCTCCTGCTGCCTCCTCCCCATCCCCAGGGGGGCAGGGGGGGGAAGAGTTTGGAGGGAACTGGATAAGTTTTAAATGAGAAAAGGAAGTTGACGACATTCTGAAGCCCAAAATGCAAACAATGGTTTTGGCTCTAATGGGTATCTGCGTGGTTTAACCTTAACTCCCAGTTTATTTCCCAGTTAAAGGGAAAGTACTGTGTTTGTGCTTCTAATTGGAACACTTCCATTTCTGAGAATTTCAAACCTTTTGCTGGGAAGTCATGGGTTAAAATGTTAGAGAAATACCATTTCTGGAGACCGCAACACTTGGAGTATCTTTAATGTGATTGACAAATGAGCTGTTGAATTTATGGAGAGCTGTGCTAGCATGGGTGCTAAAAGCATGCAGGCTTTACTTAGTGTTATAAACATAGTCACTCTAAAGGGTCCTGTTGAAAGTAAAATTACTTTCTCCCCTGCTGTTCTCTAGAGATGCTTTCTGTCTCCCATGAAATGAAGCATGGCAGAGAATAGTAAAGAGGTACCCAAAAGAAAATACTAGGATCAACCTATCAGGTTAAGATGCCAATTCATTGTGATATCTTAAGTACCTGATAAAAATATCATTGTCATGAGACTCTTAATGGCTCAAGAAGCAAGAGTCCAATTTCATGGGAGACTTTGCAGCACGGCTGCAAAACCTTTATGTGCATAGAGCCAACGTGATGACTGACTAATTGATTTAAGTCTTAAGGATGTCACGTGTATTTTATCAAGAGTAATTCTGGATGCTCCTTACATCTGGTGCCAGCCCTTCCATTGCGGAAGGCTGTCCACTTAGTATCCTCTCTAATTATACTGACTGATTCAGCACAGGCTCTAAGGCTATTCAGCCTGCTTCTTCCCTAGTAATTTTCTTCAGAAAGAAAGGTCATGTACAGTTTATCGTGTCTTATTCCAATAATTCTCAGATTTTTTTTACATGTTCTTTTGTTTCATTAAGATACACAGACATTGTACAGCTTTTGTTTTCTATTAATGCACAACTGGAAACATGAAAGACTTGGCCTAAGATGACTCAGATTTATCGTGGTCTCAAGTAAATATTCTCTCAGGTTCACAGCCTCCTAGGTACTGTATTGCTGCTATATAGAACAAATGCCCAGATTCCACTTCCAGGAGAAATGACAACCATGCTGCTCCTTTTTCACTTGAGGCAGCGAGATACTATTTGGTTTTGGATTCTGTTGAAATGAAAGCCAAATTGCTTCAGCTATGAAAACATAGGTCCAGGAATGACATGGCTGACAAAGATTAAAACCAGCTATTTTCTTAGATAGTAGTTCTAATGATAGAAAGACACAATATTCAAAAGCAGAATATTAATTATAAGATGTATTAAAAGCAGGTGGAGACAGATGAACAAGGAGGAAGAAAAAAACCTCTTAGAAGGTAGTTCCTTATTGTACTAAATTCCTGTACTTTATAGCCGTATTACCACTTTTTCCTCAGGACTGCAAGCAATCCTGCAGTTATCCTGAGTAACAAGATAATTTGTTTTCACACATGGTGGCACCACAGGCTCCTGTATAAGGCTGCTTGTTTCCTTTTGGACAGGAAAGCTGTGTGGATACTGCACTTCAGGAAATTAAGGTTAAGGAACAATAAAAAACACTGTTTTCCTAATTGTGCCATGCTTGCCTTCCCTGAGGCACACCTCTCCCTTCAGCAGTGCACCCTCTGTTAAAATATCTTACTTCAGATCCAGTCTGCTCTATTCTTTCTCATGCTTTTTCCTACAGGAATCAGTGCATGTTAGAAAAGTCATTGAAACTAGCCCTATGCCTTATGGTAATATTAAGGGGTTTTGTACTGAATACGAAAAGGAATTCTAGCATGTCAGAAGTTGGAGGGCACCAAAGGGTCTCAAACACTGTCTTTACTGCTAGTAAGTGCTCAACTTCAATAAGTAGCTAGCTTAATAACATTTGGGGTTTGTTGGGGGGGGGGGGGGGGTTGGAGGAATGTTTTAAAGTCTAAAGACTAAGAATGTAATTCATCAAGAATGAGGAAATAAATCTTACACTTCCTCTGCTTTGGAAATGGGCTAGGTATTGTTTATTTTTAATTTGTAACTTTGTATGTTGTTTTCTACCTAAAATTGTTCCCATTTTGGAGTTCTTAAAATCTTTTTTAGGCACAAGCTGTGGTACCCTCAGTTAACTTGCATTCACAAAATGCAAGGTTGTTGCAGTCTCCAGGCCTTCCCTCAGCTTCAGGAGCAGAAGCCTTTTCATTCCCTCCATCCAGCTGCCAGGGAGAGACAGCTTTTATGGAGGAAGAAAGAGTTGAGACACCAAAGGTACATCTTAAAATCACCCTACTGTTTTGTCAAAAAATGGTTACGGCTAAAAGATTGTTGCCTTTTATATTACTGCCTAGTAAAAGCACAGCTAGTGGTAGTAGCTGTAGCTCTTCAATAATTAATTGAAGATCAGTTTCTTCGACAGGGTGGAGTTCATCATCCTAGCACAAAGCACTGTGGAGTCAGGGCCAGAGCATTTGCTAATCCAAACTAATGTCACTTCATTGACCTTAGTACGCCTCCTGTGTCTTGGCACTTGCTGGTAGCCGAGCTGGAGAACGCTGCTGCTTCTCTCTGCTTTCAGTAGCCTTTTCCTCAAAGACCCAATCTTCTCAGCCTGCTCCCAAGCACTTACTCTTAAGCATATGCTGTCCCCAAAACTCTGGTCTCCCTCTGGCAAGTTCTCATTCCTAGGTAAGCTCTCAGGATAGACAAGAAGTCAAATACAAAGACCTTTAGTATCTAAACACTTGATTTGTACATTTCTTGTACTAGCTGGACAAAACACATTGTGCCTGTTTCCCTAAACTTCAGTATTCTCTGAGCGTCAGAGTTCTAGGTATTCCAGATTCTTTTCCTACTTCTGTCTTGCATATAACTTTCAACAGCTGTGTCTTCTTTTTGATCACTAATCTGCCTCGTGTTCTTTGCTTACATTCCAATCTTATCACACTGTCATTTGTAAGAGAAAAATCAACCTACAAGAGTGGTTTTTTTTTTTTTCCCCTGCTTCTCAAATATATTTTTAAGAGCCCTGAAGACTCTTCATATATAGCTTCTAATACAAAGGGTTCACTGCTGAGTATCTAGAGTAACCTACTCAGCTATTCATCCAAAAATTCAGACAAATGAGAACAGGAAGGTATAACGGAACCTTAACCGTAAGCTTCCATTGCCAGCTAAAGCAATTAAAATACCATGCACTTAAAATTCCGTATCTCTGCCAATTTCATAATAAGCTAGCCAAAAGAGTTACATTTTTGTTAATGTTTTGTTGAATGGTAAATAGCCAGCAGGACCTTCTGACTGTCAAAAACTATTAGAACTGCAGCATCTCAAATAGGTTGTAGCAGTTCTCAGCTAGTCCATTTCTGTAACTAGGAATGCCTGTAAAATCTTCACTAGAGACCATGTGAAAATTGCAGCTCCATCTCGGGTTTTGTTTCCTGTAATCAGACTGGAAGACTTTGTGTAGGCTTTCCACACCTCCACAGTTAACAGACTTAACTGAACTCAACTAATAGAACGTGACCGCTCCACAGCCTTACAAATGTATGGTTACAGCTTAACTCTCTGAAGGGAGCTACAGTCTGATCCGTTTTGCCGTGCAACTTTGAAGTCTGTGACAATACTCTGCAGGGTAGCAAAGAATGAGTGAAATACAAATGCTCTACTGCTAACTCCCGTGTGAGGAAGGGGAAATAGCTTAAAAAAATTACATTTATGAAGTACATTATTCTCATGAAACTCTTGTTATTCTCTCTCATATCACAATATAACTTTAATTTCAGCATATTTTATTTTGCCTGCTGTCAGCTAGGGCTTTGATTTCATGCTTGCCATTTTGAAGCTTTTATTGCTCACTTACTGGTTAGTTACCAACACTAAGAGTGTGGCCCTGGTTCTCATCACTGTTTTAAGTAACTCCTTGTGTGGTCTCTTACAGCTGGAAAGCAAAAAGCAGTTCAAAGACACTTGGAAATTAACATTTCAAATTTTATTTTGCATCCCCCTTTGCTTTTATAGATGCAATTTGGCCAGAGTAGACCAACAAATGGTGACTACAGTGAGGTGTGAAATCACAATTGACTTGGGAATATTCGGTGTCTTAAGTATTATAGAACATGTCTGCTAAAGATTTCCAAGCTCTGATCCATGTGCCATGGTAAACTGCAGAGAGCCAACTGCCCACATGGTATCGGTTCTCTTTTTCCTTTCTAGCAGTTCACTAAATAGTCTTTCCAGTGCTTTTGCTGCCAGACCAGTAGAAGGCATTTGAATGGGAAAGTCACAAATGGAAAGTAAGGTGTGCAAGAAATTAAGCTTAAAGCTTAATCCATTAAATTAAAATAGGGGCAGCAGATCCAGAATTTTCCTGTGCAAGCATTATCTTTTTACTGACGCTCAAAATACTCACAGCTATTTCTTGATACTGCTTTAAATATTTTCCTAGAGTACTACCATATAGTCTGCTTGCAAGACCATTTGTTAACAGCTGCTGTTAATGCAGTGAAGCTTCTTTTCCAAACACGCTTGTTTTCAAAATGCCCAAGAACTTTGAAGAAAATTCAGAAATGGTTCATCGACAGTTTTACATAAAATCACCTGTAGCAGTGCCAAGTTTTCTGCTAAACGAGTGTGTTGTTTCATCCATGTTTTACCCAACCTGATCCTACCAAAACAGTAGGAGTGACTTGTGCAACAGGACACTAATTAGAGCTTCTAAGGTATTACAGAACAGAATACCCACCCCAAAACTGCATGACATGCAGGCCATGGTCCTCAAAACCCAAGTAGTTGCATATGGCAAAGAATTAGTTAAGGTAGAGAAGACAAGTCAGGACAAAATGATTTGGAGAATAAAAACGGAATTAAAATCCTAGGACTATTTCACCTCTAAAGGCCCTCCAGTCCAACCTCCTGCTAAAAGCAGGTCTAACTTCAAAGCTAGGTGAGGTTGCTCAGAGCTTTACCAAGTTGAGTGAATCCAAGGAGAGGGATTGCACAGCCTCTCTAGGCAACCTTTGTTTGCAGAGGAGTACCATGAATCAAATGGACTTTTGCTGGAAAGGGTGTATTTACTGTATTATTCTTGAACACATCTCTGCAGCTCTGCAAGAATGCTGCACAATTAAATACAAGACTATTTTTTCATAGTGCTTATCTGAGCATGATAAATGAGCACAGTAGGTATTGTTTCCCCTTACTATATTGTACATTCCATAAATATTTTATATTTGTGACTAAGCTGGCAAAGGTTTTTAATAACTCTCTAAAAAAAAAAAGCAGCCCTGGAGAACATAGTACTGTGGAAACAAGAGTATTTAGATTTAGGGAGTTGACTACTAAGAGAATGTCAGTGGTGATCCTACCTGGAGGGATTTGTTATGTACAATTCTTAACAAGTCTTACTTGCCTGAGTAGATTATAGGGAGGTTCACACATATCCAGGGTGCCTTCAGTTGACATGATAGGCAGAGATTTCTTACACTTTGGGGTGATGCTGTGTGCACATAATTGAAAGCTGTCCATCTTCTCCTTGTGCCATTTAGGTAAATGGCTGCCTGCTAGATCCTGTACCTCCTGTGGTGATTAGGAAAGGATGCCAATCACTGCCTACCAGCATGATGGAAACTTCTATTGATGAAGGAATAGAGACAGAAGGAGAGTCAGAAGATGACCCTGCACAGGCATTTGCAGCCCTCCAAGCAGCTCGCTGTGGGAAGCGACGTCACACTCTGGCAGAAGTTACCAATCAGCTGGTGATGATGCCAGGCACAGGTACAGAAGTTAGCATGGACATCTCAAAGCTCATATCCTGCTCTCAGCACTCAATCTAATAAGCCCAGGATGAAAAACACTTAGGTTTTAAGAGCAACACGCACAAGACAGTTTCTTGGTTTTGTTACTTAGCATTTCCTATAAAGGCCAAAGGGGAAAAAAAAAATCCACAACAAAACACCCCAAAACCGGCTGTACAGACAGTATAAAACCAAAGCAGCAAATATACAGCTGGCTACAGTCATGTACAACCCCAATAGCAATGGGTAAAGTCTGGGGAGTTGGCTTGTTCTTTTTTTACATAACTACATGTCCCCAAATCATTCATCCCCTAAAGATGTACTGGCAAAGGAGGACAGTGGGGAAACAAAAACCTCTGGATTCTCAGGTATTCCAAAACCAGCAAGATGACCAAGCCTTTCAGCTCAGGCTACAGTCTTGTCAGGATTGTCTGTGGGGAAAAAACAAACAAAAAAACCCCCCACAACAAAACACAAACAAAACCACACACACACTGAATGCTCTCCAACCAAGCCAGTGACCATCATCTGTGTAGCGTCTTATTGCTGCGATAATGTAAAAACCAGTAGCAAATCCCCATTACGGTACTGCAAGTGTTAAATTACAATTACTTTACGAAACTTGATTTTTTTTTTTTGTTTCACTTCCTCTAAGACAGTCACTGTTGGCAGGAACAGCTTAAGCCTGTGGCAATTCCTTTGCTTTGCTAAATTACTGCTGCACTTTCCTTTTATTCTGGCTTTTGGTTTTTGTCACAGGGAAAGTCTACTCATTGGATGAAAACTCATCTCTAGGTAGCATTGATTCAGAGTACGACATGGGATCCATTCAGAGAGATATTAAATTCCTGGGAGACACCCCTTCCTTGAAAGAAATGGTGCTAACTAACCAACAAGCACCCAGAATGACAACACCTTTCATAGGTCTGAGACCTGCCAATCCAGCCATGCAAGCACTCACCTCCCAAAAGCGAGAGACCCACAACCGCTCTCCTGTCAGTTTCCGAGAGGGGCGCAGAGCTTCTGACACATCCCTCACACAAGGTAATTATAGTCATCATCATGACACATTATACCTAGATGTGGTAGTAAATGTACTCTATACACAGAAGCACCAAGCCACCTTGTGACTTGGTTGTTACTCATCTTATCTCACATTTGCTGTGCTAACCAGATACAAATTAACTGATTTTTCTGACAAGGGTTTTGCTCAACTCTTCTCCAGGAATTGTAGCATTTAGACAGCACCTCCAGAATCTGGCACGAACCAAAGGAATCCTGGAACTGAACAAAGTCCAGTTGCTGTATGAGCAGATGGGATCAGAAGAAGAACATTCTCTGACATCAACTGCCACCCAGTTGCAGGACCTCATTAATAGTCCACCGCAGGTACTTAAATCAGAAATCAAGCTCTATCTTTCAGGTGTTAATGCGTTGGGACAGATAAGGAGAGGATAAGGTGTTCTGGAGATCTGAGAAGAGCTAGTTTACAGAAAGTTCCCCCTCCTTCTTTCCATCATCTGCAGAATAGAGAATGGGCATTTGCAGGCTAGCCTTTACCATCCTTATGGTGTCAGTGAGATGGCCTTGTTAGCTTTCTGAATCCAACATCTCATTATTGCTTTTAATCTGAACGATGTTTTGGATTTAACAAAGCCTGGTGACATCTTTCCCTGCTGGAGTTAGTCTGGTATAACTGTAAGAAGTGCAAAAGCCGAGTGATAACGGTTAGCCTGATTTGCGTAGTGAAATGCTAAATAGCTTCTACCAGCTCCCTAGTTAATTGTTTCAAATGGAACAGGTCACAATAAGTTTCTGTTAAACCCCAGGAATAAAATGGCTAAGAAGTACACAAGCACCTAATGTTCCAGATGAAGCCTGCTATTTTTAAAGCTCTAGCTGTTACTTTCTGACTGCTGGAAAACTTCAGTTCTGACAACCACAAAGTTGTAATGTTTTCACAAGACTCTCTCACTTGATGTAAACTCACTGCAGTGCTCATGGTATTCTCTTGACAACAATTCACTCCCCTCCCATGTCAGCACTCTCCAGCTTCCTACAGATGCCTACTCTGTGCGTATCCTTTCCACCACTGTTGAAAGCTTTTCGCCTTCCGTTTTGAAGCTGTGAAATGAGAGCTGCACAAAAGCACATTCAGAGTTTGGACAGTTTTCTAACCCTGTATGTTTACTATTTCAGAGGGCAAGTCAGAAAATACATTATATATAATATAATTTTAGTTACAGATGTAAGCCTTTGCCACTTTGCAGCACAGATAGTTCAAAACTTTGTAATTTAGGCTCCTCACCATGCAGTGAAAGTGGTGAGTGACACCAGAGACCAGTCCATATGGCAACTATGAAACCTCTATCAGGGGAAATCCTTAAAGAAAGGGTTGAGGCAGAAAAGCCTTTTCTGGGGATGAAACTTGTTCCTCTTCTCTCTGCAGGAGGAAGCATCTCAGCAGCAGCAGGAAGCTGCATCTGCTTTCCCTAATGGTGCACATCCCCCATTATTATCCAGACGGCAGAGCTTAGAGACACAGTACTTACAACACAGGCTCCAGGTACCATACCTCCCCTCCACTGGATTAAACCAGCTGCTGTTACTACACAGCAGACTAGCCTTTTAGATCTTATTACTCAGGAATATCAGTCAAAGGCTAAATTAGCAGAGAACAGCTGAATTTGAAATTATGCTGTATTTTTCTTTCGTCAGACACTGACCCTAATTATGTAAAAAGTATACTACATTACTGCTGTTTTCCTACTCAGTCTGTTACTGTATAGTGTTATTAAAGCAATTTGAAGCAACTGCTAGTGAATACCTGTTATCTGTGTTGCATCCCAGAAAGGTTGTGTATCAGCATCTGAGGAGCCACTTCTGACCCCCTGGGGCTTACTGTTTCTCACCCCCCCCTTTTCTTTTTTAAAACCAATTTTCATATAGCTTTAGTTCATAAACTTTTTTTTCCAGCTTGCAGCTTCTCTTTCACTTGGGAAGAAATCTTTCTATGGTTTTTCATGGTACAATCTATCATGCGAAGATATTATTTGTCTAAGGGTTAGAAGCCACTAAGCAAATAGTGGCTGTGGTTTTAGATAGTAGCTCTACTGACAGCTTCTGAAATGGAGCTGGGCAGTTACACTGTCATAAGGGTAGACAATCGTTTTTCACTTGCTTTCTGGACTAATACGTTAAATCAGATGCAATTTAAAACAGCGCTGGTTTTCTTGCAGAAACCCACTCTACTATCAAAAGCTCAGAATACTTGCCAGTTATACTGCAAAGAATTGCCCCGGAGTCTGGAACAGCAGTTACAGGAGCACAGGTAAGAAGCTTCCAAACTATGCAGATAAGTTATTTATTCTTAGCCTCAAGAGTAATAAAAGAACTGGAACAATCTTTGTCCCTTTAGAAAGTCTTTGAAAAAGGAAAGCTTCACTTAAACATCTATAAGGACACAGTCCTCCGTTTAAAAGAGAGACAACAGTCCTGCCACGTGTTTATAAATTTCTGTGCTATGAGCTCTTTATCAGCTAACACTACTAGGGTGCAGGTAAACTGCAAATAACTGCATGCTTCATTTAGTGCTAATGGGCGTATAGAAGCATAGGAGGAAGCTACCCTATTACTTACATTGTTGTACTTAATTTCACCCTCATCCTCGCAACCACCCACTGTTTATAACCTACATATTTTCAGTATTTCTCATAAGTCAAAACATGGATTGTGTATTTCTGCCTGCTGGGAAGCCCTGCAGTCATTTAGGTATTTCCTGTCTCATTCCTATGACCCAATAATTTTACAGTAAAGTAAATCAACTTTTTCTTGTCATATAAGATCAGTTTAGAAGTGACACTCCTCTGAAAAAGTTACAGTAAAGAGTGAATAGATTTGATGTGTCCCCTTATAACTATATTATAGCAGACAAGATTTTAATTGCCAAGTTAAAGGGCTGTAAGCTCTTTATGAGCTCATCATTTGGTAATCATCAAACAAGTAAGCAAGATAGATGTTAAAGACAGTTACTCTCGCAGAAAGAGAAAGGAAAATAACAACCTAGCTACATGCTGTCTAGAACAAAAAGACTGAGGAACAGAGATATAAAAATACTACTTATTTCAAGAAAGCATGCAATCAGTAATTCTTTATAGCTTATGGCCACTCCTGACCACTGTAGAGTTGATTAATCCTGATCAAGAGCCTAACTAACAGTATTGAGAGCAGCTTGGTGTACTACTTTAAGAATAGGAGGTCTGCATAGAGAAATAAGCTGGGAAGCAATAGATTCATTTTCTGAACGCTGTCGGCTGTGTCAGTAGTAGGTTTCCTATTTCTGCATGCTTTGGTAACTGGCTGGCAGGAGACCTCCACTTTGTTGCATCACAGGAATTTGTTAAAGGTAGCTATAACCTTGCATTGTTTTGTAAATTCTTACTGTTTGTAAAGAGTCAAAATCATGGAGTTTCATAAAAGTTCATAGGGAGCAGTGCAGTTCAGAGAAAAAGAATATGGGGGGGAAGGAGACTGTTCATTTCCATTAGTAGCCCGTGATAACTTGTCTTCAGCTCCCAAGTTCTACAGAGCAGTGAATAGCAGGCTTAAAATACAAACACAGTACATCTTATTCTTAGCAAATGAAATTAAACAATGCATGCGGTTAACTTAATTGCACAGGAAAAATTCACTAGGCGATTAAAAAGGTTATCAAAAGGTCTACAAACTCAGCCTCTGCACATCTGCTGAAAGGTGAAGATTCTGGTCTGCTGTAAAATTTAATAAATAAGATTGCCCGTGAATTTCCCAGTTCTGTATTTCACTGCCTGCTGGAACTGTTTGAGTGACTAGCATGCAGGACTCATGCTAGTGCCTTAACACTTCAAAAGGTGAAAATAATTGCTGTTTATGTCCTTGATTCAGGCTGCATCAGAAGCGACTCTTTCTCCAGAAGCAGTCCCAGCTGCAGGCCTATTTTAACCAGATGCAAATAGCTGAGAGCTCATACCCAAGGTCAAGTCAACTGCCACTTTCATGCCGGGGGGAGGAGCAACAACAGCAGCAGCAGCAATCAACCCAGTTCAGCTTGCAGCAGCCTCTGAGCCCTGTGATGGAGCCTTCCTCAGAACAAATGCAATACGACCCCTTCCTCGGTCAATACCAGAAGGTACAGCTGGATCCACTGCCACCCTCCCAGATCACCAGCTCATCACGGTTGTCATCACCAGTTCAGGTGCAGCAGCCGCCACAGTCCTTACCATATTCATATCAGACTTGTGAATTGCCTGTTGTCACCTCTTCTGAGCCAGACTACCCAGACCAGTGCCAATATTCCATGGACCCAGCACAACAGAGCAGTGTAGCATTGCCTGACAGCCAGAGCAGCTCAGCATCTCATGAGTCCCAGTCAAATTATGATGCATTAACCCTCTCAGAATTGCCTGGACTCTTTGATTGTGAAATGATGGAGACTGTAGATCCCCAGCACAGTGGCTATGTCCTGGTGAATTAATACATGGAGTGACTAACATGAGAGTGGAAGACAGGACAAATGGAGAAGCATGTGAATTTTTGTTTTTTGTTCCTAGCCCAAAGTTCATGGTAACTTTTCAACCCTTGAATTAACAGGGGAACTAAAAATCCACCTGACTGGAAAAAAAGCAGGAGGTGGCAAGAAGCATTTGGCCACTAGTTCCTCTTGCTGGTGGAAGGGGCTAGAGAATAGATAGTGCAGTTTAATCCCACAAAGAACTAGTTTGCACAGGAGGAGGCAAAAAAAGTGAATTTTAGAGGAAGGAAATAGCCCCTTCTAAAAAAAAAAATGGGGAGTGTGTCAGCATTCATCTAACATTCACTTGGAGAAATGAGAATGAGTGCACATTGTATTGTACTTCTTGGCAATAAAAGCAATAGTTTTCATTGAAATTCAGGGTAGATTTGGGTCTGCGCTGATGGCAACTGTAATACTACTCTTGAAACAGTAGCATGAGGTGGAATTAAAGGAAAGTTGCACTTTTGCATCCAATTTGCTGGTTAAGCTGTTGATCTGGAACTACTCCATGGTAAGTCTCCGAGATCACCAGGCATCTCAGGCAGCCTCCACTTCCTCCTGCTAGCAAATAAACAGTATTTCCCAAGCCTGCCAAGGAACTCTTAACTGTCCACTAAAGGAAGCTTCTGGATCTCTTCTAAGTGACATCTTGATTTTGTCAAAAGATACCTGGAACTGACATGGGGCACCACAGTGGTTTGTAGAGTCCTCTGGGTGGGGATCAGAATACTAAAGGATAAAGGATTAGCTAATGGAGAGAATGAAGGTAAGAAGTACTATGAGAAAAATCAAGAGCTGCAGCCAATGGCATTAAAAAAAAAATCCACCTGGGTGGCTTTTGAAATCAACCCTTTTTGCAGGCAGGCCTTTGTGGAGGGCTCTGTTTTGGAGAAGTTCCAATCACTGGAAAGGATCCATCTGTCCTTCCGTCGCATTTTAAAAACGAGCAAACAAACTGTGTTTTGAATTTGCAGTATGTGTTGCTGGTGGTTTATTGAGCTTTGTATATTTGGACAATTACTTAGGGTTTTAGAACTTAAGGATAAAAACAATGAGCTTAAAAAAAAAACCCCTGTGAAGTGATAGTGCTGTGCCTTTTTCAGTTCTTTATCAGCCTATATGCTTTTTTCTGAAGAAAGTAGACAATACTCCATTTATATCCTTGCTATAGCCAAAGTCCCTTCAGAGCACACGTTCCACCATGTGGAACATAGTGTTTAACTTTCTTAGTGTTTTGATTGCTCGTGTATATATAACATTGAAAGTATTACAGCAATATTTAGCATCGTGAACTGTTGATGTATCAACCATTTCAAGAAATACTAAACTCAACAAGCAGTTGTGTCTCCAGAACTTTCAGTCATGAAATGCAAGTCATAGAGGATTGTTTAGGAATCTGCAGAAAGTTTAGGTGTCTAGTTTGGGTTTTGTCTCTAGCCTTTAAGTATTGTGGGACATTACAGAATGATAGACAAATGAGGCTCACAGCTAGAAAGTTTAGCCCTTTTCTGAGCAAACATTAAGCACAATTGCAGATTCATTAAAGCACAAAGAATGGCAGAGAAACTGTGCTGATCACATATGTAGAAAACACCACTGTTTGCTGGAAAGTTTGGTGAGCTAAGGTCTTTGATACTACAAATAATGAGGGTGTAGTCACCAAACTCAAAGTTTGGGTATTCAGGGCATGTGGTCACTTAAATGGAATGGGTTGAACAGGTAGCAGAAGGAAGAAACAAACAAACAAACAAAAGTACTTCAGGTATGTTGGTTCTTCCATATTTGTCAAATCACAGATCCTACCAAGCTAGAAAGGCGTTCTCAAAGCTGCTCTCTTTTCCTTCACTAGAAAGGTGGATAAATGAGACAGCATTTACAGCAATAAGACTGCGTTTTAACATGGAATAGTGGGACTTCAGTCACTGCATTGTAGGCTGTGTGAAGGAGGGAAGGGTTTAACAGCTGACAGAGGGCACCTTGCTTCCTGTATACTACAATTAGAGACGCAACTCCTGTTGCTATGTAGCCTGCTCTGATTTGAGTCCAGCTGCACAACTGGACCAATTCCATAAGTGCTCAGCTTCTACCTCTGGTATCAGTGATTCTCAAGGCATCAGCAAAGGAGAGTTTAAAGAACAGGGATCACATCCATACGCTACTTATGTGATGCAAGATAAAGAGGGCTAGAAAACTCTAGTTTAAATAGCTGAGAGGAGAAAGAAAAGGTTTTTATTGTGTGGTTTCCCTTCAAAAGGAAACTCACCTGACACAGTAAATAGCTATGGAACACAGAAACCCCTGTGACACCTTAAGTGACTAACAAAGGGAAAGGAAACAGCTTGACAAATACTGCAGCATAACAGACCAGGCATTTCACTACTGCAAAAAAAGAAAAAGAGGCAGAGTCCTGTCCTTTCATTCCTTCTTCCCTACCCCACAGTATAATAAACACCTTCTGGAATTTTAATATCTGATCAAGCACTCAAGGAACTATGTGGCAAAAACTGCTAACAGGACACGCAACACCTATGGAGACAGGTCCAGTTCTGCTCCAGGAGCTGGGTTACTGCCATAACTATAACCACTTCCTTCCCCATCCAACTCCAGGATACTGTACATTTCAGGACTCAAAGATAAAAATAAATCTGTTCTTGAGTTCTGCAGTTCATTTATCAGGATGTGCCAACTAGTCTAAGCTCAATTGAGCTTTGCAGTGCTGGTAAGGGGGAAGCTACAGTGTTTTTTAAATGTAGTTTAGACTGACTTTTCCCCTCAACCAAAAGCATATTTAATGTTTCATGTAAGTTCCTTTAAGCCAATTAGAATAAAAGGCTTCTAATGCCTTCTAATACGGCAGAGTATCCATTGGGCACCACTTCGTACTACTCTGAAGTGGCTTTTGTGTTCAAATCTGTTATGTCTAACATTAGAGAACCGTGTACACTACTGTTAGAGTAATTATTAGCTTTATTATCTTATATTACAGACTCCTTTGAAGAGACTTTGGTGTGATGTATATGGGGTAAAAATTTCATATGGAGAAAAGTGCAATATGTGTGTGTGTGGTATGTTCTTTAATGTATTTTTTTAAGGAGTTAGAGGGTTTAGTCTCTGCTTTGGGATAAATGCACTAGTTTTGTGAGCTCCAGTTTGGCAAGTTCATCTGTAGTATTTACATGCAACTGATATGCTGGACTCTGTAAAGCAATTACAGTGTATTAATACAAAATAAAGAATATGTGCATTTCATTTTTAAATATCTAGTGAGCTAAAGCGCAGCCCCTGCCACTCTTGTGTTCTTAGCAACCTCTTTATGTATTATATTGAGGTTACTTTCTCTCTGAGGCACCAAGCCACAAAGGACAAACAAGAAAATTAATGTCTACTGCAAAGGCTGGATTTTGTAGATTGAAGTTTGCTTCCTGTCATTTTGACATATTTGGGGTAGTTAATACCACTGACTTTTGATGGCAAATATGAATGGACAAAGCAGTCCAATAGCTTCAGAAAAAAAGCTGCATTTCTTTACTGCCTGCTATGCCATGGAATGTCAAACACATCAGGAGCATGCCTCCAACACAGGCAAGGTCAGCGGTGTATCGCCTTGACTTTGAAAGAGGAAAGTTATTTTCAAAACTACTATCAGTTTTCACATTTTTCCATATTAATCAGTATACACTATCCAACAGGTGATACAAAAGCAGTTTCATGCTGATCATATAACGCTAAACTCCAGGAACACTGTGTGAAGGAGATGGGGGTTTGGGTACTGCCAGAGGGAATCCATCATAATTTCCCTAGTAACATAATCATAGCATGCCACCATGTCATCCCATGCTCCACTGAGAAGTACCAGTCTGGATTTGACCAGAAAAAGCACTTACAGAGGGAGCTGCTTGGGATCAGAATTATTACCTCACAGAAAGAAATTAGATTTTTCTTTTAGACATCATAGCGGAAGTTTCCCCAAGACTCAAAAGTTACTGTGAAATTTCTTGGTTAGATTTTACATGTCTCCTGTTACATCAAGTGTAATTAAAAGAAGATTGTGTCCACAAGAAAGCTCTGCTTACCTGCTTTTCTAACTTCCCACATTATCTTTACCTGTAAAAACATTCCTTCTCTGTACGTCCTCTACAATATTTGTTTTAGCAGCTCTGCAATGCAAAGCAGTTTGGGACAGGATGTGGGAACCTCAAAAAACTAAATCAACTCTTTGCTGGGAAAAATGAAGCTCCTCAATTTCTCACTAAAAGAAACAGACCCAAGTAAAAACACTGTCCTGAAGTCTTTAAATTAAATCTCCTTTCTCTGTAAAGAAACACATTGAAAAAAAAAAAAAAAGCAGCATAGGTCCCTGTTACAGCCATTCTGGATAGCATAGGAGCAGTTGTTAGGGAACTGAGAGCAGGGTTTTTTTTGAAGTTAGTTACTTTCCACTGATTTAATTCTTCATTTAAAATAAATTGGATTAGTACAAACTAATGCTATAGAGATGGTTATATCATACAGTGTCACTTACTTACAATGGTTATATTTCCATAGGTGTACAGGACTGTATTGGTTGGAAATAAGTGTCAGTACCACATGGGGATTTTACTGACTGTTCCTAAATTAATTAAGAGAATTTTGGAAAGCTACTCATGCAACAGTAAATTACAACTAGGTCCTACTGAGCTAGTTATGCTACCAACTGCCAAGAATCTGCATTTCTGCAGTCCACGTAACACACAGAGTTTAAGGCAGACCAAAGAATCATGCCACTGCACGGGACACTGCAGTCTTTTGTTGAGACTGGAAGACCTCATGCCACAAGATTGTTACAGTATTTTCCACTTCCATTAATAGAAAACTTATTCAAAATTACTTAAGATGAGATCAAGAAACAGTAGGCAAAGCTGGGGAAAATTTTTCTTCTGTGGAATCGGAAACAACAAGATTACCCATGTTTTCTGCTCTCTCCCTTCTCTGCTTGGACAGCAAGTTTGAATTGGCCTGTAAGAGATCTCCTGAGAAGAAGAGCCCCACTCCCAAGAATAGAACAAGACATGGATATTCATGAATTGCATCCTGTTAACTACTTTCCTTAAAACCTTTTACCCTGATCTGGGGTGTAATAGGCTTACTTTGACTTAGCCTAAGACAATCTAGGACTTTCCTCTTAGAAGGGAGTCTTCTTTCCTCTAGAACTATAAACGGCAGCAGTGAAAAATTCATCTTATTCTGTTGCTTGAAGCCCTACACCACTGTCCTGTTGAGGGTGAAAACTGAAAGTGAACCATCTGTTCTCTGGTAATTTAGGCAGAAGGCTTACATCCACAGAGAGAATGGGCAACTCCAGAAGAGGCTCTGTGGAAAAGCAAAATGCCATGCTCTTCACAGAGGATGCAGCAGAGACCAGAAGATAACTAACATAGGGAAAACAAAATTACAGTTCTTCCATAGGACTGCAACAACAGTTGCATGACACAAAAGGTCATGATGTGTGTGTATATGTGGAAAAAAATCTCAATAGCTCTTTTCTCAACATCACTAGCAACACTTGTGACCCTCAGGGTTTATTGAAGAAACCCTTCCAATAGGAAGGAAAGTGTGATGCTCAGAGATGTTAAGCAAAAATTAGCGTAGTGCCCAGCAGATTCACCTATCCTCCCACACTGAAACTGCTGTCCCTATTGCATTTGTGTAGTGACCTCAGCTACAACTGGCCATGAACAGCTGCAGCTGAGCAGTTAGTATGACACACTGGGACACAAAACACTGCAACAGAATTAGTAGCTTGGTTTGTAACAGTACTGACCAACTGACTGATCATCTTCCACATTCCCATGAATCAGAAGTGCCAAGAAGCCTTTAGAGTGCGCACCCAGAAGGGATACCAGTAATGCTGTGCCTTAACTCTATACCAAGCTCGACACAATCAACGTCTCTCTCATGGCTGCTTTCCCACATACCCGGCTCCTCTGCTGACTCCGAAAACTCCTGATACAGTCTTGGGCAATTATCCAAGCAAGAAGGGTGAAGCATCATATCTGCCTGCATGCCCTGCTGAAACAGAGGTGTCAGCCAGAGATCACAGGATGACTCGAGCTGCACAGAGACAGGGACTGTTAGTCACTGCTTCCCCAACAGCACCACAAACAGGCTACATACAGGACAGGAAAAGAGAACGCACATGCACTTTCCCATACAGACATAGTCCTTCACTGCTAGCAGTCAAAGTAAAACCAGAGAAGGTCACACCTTAAGGGGTTACCTTGACTAACCTTACAAGCCACCTGGAAGACACTTTCCTCCCCCCCTTCCCCTGAAATGCAAAGGCTAAGCCCTCCTTATTCCAGTGGAGACAGGAGAAAGCCCTCCCCCTCACTGGGATAAATTCTGACTTACAGACTAGGTCAGAGCCCTTAAATCCCTTGCAGAGTTGCAGAGCACAGCATTTCTCTGCTGGGCCTCAGGCCAGCAGAGCTTTCCTTTTCAGTGTTATCTGGCTGACAGTGCTCATTTAAGTCCCTGGCAGATGGATCAGCAGCAAGGCTGTCACAGGCACACAATACACATGAGGTAGCAGCCGACTATCAGCACAGTTTGTGCATGGGCTGAAAGCAGAATGCATACACATCTCTTCTGCTGATTAGGCTTTTACAATCTGAGTATAGCTTTAAAACTGTGTCTGAATTCAGTGTATAACATCTCTATGCACATGAGCTTCAGCCTCTGTTCACCTTGCACCACAGTCCTAAACACATTCAGGATAAGCCTTGAAAAGCTTCATCCCCAAGTCCTTTTAGTATAGAGCAAAGCAAGGGGGGGGCAGCGATTAGTTGAAGGAAGAGTGGAGAGAAAGCCCATGAAAGAACTGGTGCATTAGAACAAGGGAAAGTGTGAGTGTCTAGGAGAGGGTTGCAGGAGTAGATAGCCCCAGATAGCAAATACTCTCAATGACAGCTCAAAAAGACAAAACCCCCACCCACACATGCACTGCAAAAAGCTGATCCTCTGCACGTACAGAGCAGGAAGGACTTCTGCAGACCAGAATGCAGACATATGGCCAGAAAAGCCCCAACAGTGATACAGCCAACAGCTGGAAGCTTTAGTCTTGCAAGGCTTCAGCCAAATCTAGACACACTGTTCCTCCTAGTACAGGCAGATTTGTATACTTGGATAGGTAGAACAGCACCAAACAGCAACAAAGCTGCATGCATTTACCTGGAGCTATACTGGCTTGGACACTGGAAGGACGCGTCTACCCAGCTGCAAAACAGAGTTGGCCAGTTTCCTGATACAAGGTAAGAGCAGGTTTGTTGGCTGAAGATAAAGTCTCCCTCCCTCCCCAGCTCTGCTTGCTGAGATACTAACTCAGGATTATCTGAAACATCATAGACAAGCTGCAGAGCTCAGCCTAGTCCTCAGATAAATAGCATTGCCCAGTCCTGGGCAGCCCAGAGGAATACTCCACATCACAGCCATGCTTCTTCCCACATCGAGCCTTCCACCAGCTACATGCAAAGCCTGCATGCAACACCCATGCTGGTTTGCACTTTGCTCACATGTCAGGGAATTGTGACACTTGGAGCCAAACTTTATAGCACTGACAGGAGTCATCTGCTTTACAGTGACAGCCAGTGCAGGACTGTTTGCATGCAAACACAAGCTAGTTTCCCTCCTACAGCTCTTCCCAAGAAGCAGACTTTCTCCCACAGCAAAACATCAGGCCCATAAAAGCAAGCACCGAAATAATAAATGCTTCACCAGCACCTGTTCTTGACAGGCCCAACACCCTGCAGCACAAACAGGACAAGTTTATTTCATGCCTACTGCTGAGCATACCTTCATCTAGCCCTTGTGAGGTGGCAAATGCAATCAACAGAGCAGAGCCAGAAGAGCAGTACCCAAGCCAGGCAAAGCACTGTCTCAGACCACAAGAGAGACTGTGGAGGATTTATCTCCTGATGAACTATCCCTTTTTCATTGGGACCACATGCTTTTTAGATTCAGTTCTTCTCCTTTGCCCCTTCTCAACTCAGCCTCCAGGATATGAGGGTACTATTCCCCTCCTGCTGCCCACTGTCTAGAGAAACACAACATAAACATGAAGGCTGATGTGAATGGAGAATGAATGGGAACATCCAGGTGTGAAAGCACTGAAAGGAACAAAGTGTGGGAGAAGGGCTTTAAGAATAGAAAGTGTAAGTGGCATCTAGATTATCAGGACATTTGGATTCCAGCACATGGTGAGTTAATCCTGACAGCTCACGGAATAAGTGGGGGGTAG